TATCTACTGTAAAGGTTATAGAAGCAAAAGAAATCGAGCATATTTCGCAGAACTTCTTAAATCAATATTTCTGATAACCTATGTTAGATATTGCTACAATGTCCAAAACCTGGACATCAAATGAGGGTGCCTGGCAACCCATAAAACCATGGGTACCACGGATCTTTGATAAGAAGTGTCAGGATCTAAGCTTTGCTTATGTGGGCATGTAAACGTTTGCGGTTTGAGTGCGTTGCGAGCTAATCGGTGTACAAGTAGTACCACACGCGAACAACTCTCATTTCATGTATGGTCTTTAGGACCACTGGAATTGTTAAGTGTTTTTGGTCACATGAAGTCACGTGTAGTTGCAAGACTTCAGCAGCCGATATATTTACCTTCACTTTACTTGCTATAAATACAGCTACCTCTGATACAAGCATCGGCTCATTTCATCACATGGTATACCTACCATCATCCTAATCCAGCGATTTCGCTGGATCCCAGGTTTGTAAATTCGGCAATACCAGGATCCTAGGATTACCAAAAATACCGCGACTTTCGCGCCTAGCCGGTATGGAGGGGCGGTCAGCCGGACTCTCGGCTGGCACCTGTCGACAGTATGGAGGGTCGGTCAGCCGGACTCTCGGCTGGCACCTGTGGACCGTATGGAGGGGCGGTCAGCCGGACTCTCGGCTGGCACCTGTATATAGATAGATAGTGGGACGCAACTCCAGGACGCGGGACCCCGGGACGCGGACTCAGGCGTCAGGCGAGTGGACGAGGCTGCACGGTTCAGTTCGCCACCCTTTCGTCATAGCCGGACGTCCCCGATTCGGGCATGCCGCCATGCGCACGCCATTGCGCTCCATGGGGTGCGAGCATCGATATAAGAAATAAAGCTCTCCAGCTCCCCCTTTTTCGACATGATGAGTTCAAAGTTCTCGTATTGAGTAAACGACCTTCAAGATACCAGGGATACTAGTTTAACGACGCTGTAATGCTGAATGACGATTCTATTGACTTTGATTTATAATATCGTATTGATTACATTAATCGTATTGGAAACAGACGGGTGTCAATGCACTCGATACTTAGCACTACGACGTCTTTCAACCAGCGCCTCCTGGTATACTGAAGGCCATAGACTTAAGGTAAGAACTTTGAACTCATCGTGCGAGTATCGGCTTGAGAACAGATTGCTTTTGAAACACCATGCATGCGCTTCACAACATTCGTTTAAATGGCATGGAAATCTTAAATATGGACGTCACCTAAGCCCCACCGGCACCGGACTCTCTCCCTAATTTCTAGCTTTCTCGTGGTGTCTGGCATGGAAGAAAACCGCAGGCATTGTTATGGGCGGAATGTCACAAGCAAACACACCGCTGCTTGAAACAATTGAACGACACGCAACCTGACGCAGAATGTGTCGGCAGCACATTCACGTGTGCTCGTGAGAAGGCGCGACAGTCTGGGCAACCAGCCGTTGCCAAACAGCTAGAAGCACTGCTCTTTATTCCGAAAACCTCACCAGAGCCAATTCCAACCGAACCCAGCTCCGAACAACATAAACTGGCTTCTGGGCAGTCAAACTCGGAAACATCGATAAAACAGTCGAGTGACCTCTTTTCCGACTGACATTAGCTAACTGTTAACAGACAGGTGGAAAAGCCCCAGTGTTCAGTTAAATCGGCAGCCCAGCCAAAGGTGAGGCACCTCTCGGTGAGGGGAGTTGCAATGTCATGCAACTGAAAATGTTTCCATTTCCATGCTCTGACCAAACTTTATGGTCTCCATTTCCTACATTACACTTTACTCCGTCGGGCAGACCGAATGTTACCTAATACATATGCTGACTAAAAATAGTTAATGACTTACTAAACAAGTTTTAAGGTGCTCTGTTAGACCCCGCATATAATTAATGCATACCTATCCCAGTTCTTCCCAGCCTTCCGGCTTCCGCCCTCCGCCATGTCGGTCGGATTTTCATATTTAATGAATACCGCTTCCGCCATTGCGAAATCTCTACCCTAATGTAAGCTTCAGCTGAATTCTTGCGCACGGCTCAGGCTCCAGCAGCCATGACGCGCCCTTTCCAGCCAGTAATATTATCAGAGCCATCAGCGCGCGTCAGCGCGGCGTGAGAGTTCGGGCTCTGCTGACGGCGGCGCTGCGTCCCGGCTCCGCTCCGTTCCACCGACAGGAAAGCTGAACAGTGCCTGCCCGGCCGCTCGCTGGGCCGGGCTGAACAGGAGGCCCGGACTCCGTGGGCAGAGCTGAACAGGCGACCCGGGCTCCGTGGACAGGGCGGAACAGGCGGCCCGGACTCCGCGGACAGGGCTGAACAGGCGGCCCGGGCTAGGTGGACAGGGCTGAACAGGCAACTCGGACTCCGTGGAGAGGGCTGGACAGGAGGCCTGGACTCCGTGGACAGTGCTGAACAGGAGGCCCGGACTCCGTGGACAGGGTTGAACAGGAGGCCCGGACTCAGCGTCGGCAACGGTTGCGGGGACCGACAGGCCTTGATTCAGGAAACGCGCCGCGCTAAAAACGATCATCGGCCACGGTCAAGCCCGCGACAATGGTGACAAATGATGCGCCGACGCGGAGTCTTTCGCGGGTGATTACGCGTCCGTTCCGAGACAAAATGGGGCCACTGAAGCCCGTCAAGCATAAAGCCAAGCAACGGTGCGTTGAGGTCGGCTGTATTCTCCCCATACATATATGGGATAAGGTGAGACGGCGATGCAAAAACACGTTATCACACGAGTTCCTCTCTGGGAGGCCGCCCCCCTAGCACCAAACAAACTGGACTCGTTCCATTTCCCGTTGCTCACAACTCATCTCAAATATTGCGTCTCCAACGACGCCGTCGCGCCGGAGCGCCACGATGGCGTGCCTGATGCGGAGAGTCTGCCGCCCTCCGGGACGGACTGGGCCATCGTTCCATCTGCCGGCGCCATTGGAGCGCACAGCGAGCCGCCTGCGGAACTCCGCAGCGGAGAGGCTATCATCGCCGCAGGCTCCGACATCCGCCCAGCAATGACCTGCGGCCAGCCGCGGCGCAGCGGCGACGGAAGCGCCACGCTGCGGCCACAGAGCGAACTCAGGGCAGACCGTCCGGCACGAACAGCCACCACGGGACAGGCCTCAAGCCAGCGAATTGGCCACTCTGTAACGGTGTTAGCTCTAACCAAAGGTCGAGACAATAAGGTTGCCGACGTGGATCACGCCCTCCTCAGCGGCCAAGAAAAAGAGATGCTTCCGCCCACGCACACACAGAGGAGCGGCGTTGCCTGGAAGGAAAATGGAATGGATGACCTTGCCGTGAAGATGCGCGTCTTTTACTGTAATCCACTGCGTATTAAGCCGCCAGCAACAATTTCGCTGATTAATGGTTCCGGGATGTGAGAGAACGCATTTAATGGAAACGAAGCACATTATACTAGGCACGAAATACTCATATTTCGTACCTACGACATACGAAATGTCCATATTTCGCACATGACGAGCGGAGCTGTCAATGCATTTGAAAGCCAAACGTCAGGGGCGAAAAACATCCCTTACAGAAGGAGAGCGACCTCTCCACACGGGAAATAAGGAGGAGATACTTTCGAGATGCTCTTCTTAAATGTTGTGCAACCACGGCCGATAGCGTCTTGCCTTGGAAACCACGGATAAAACTATTCCTTCCAAAGCCCCACACTTGTTTTCGTAGTGCAGGACCATAAAGAGCCATACACAGCGCAGGCCCGATGTTGACGGCATCCTCATCCTCTACACGAGATATATGTCAAACCGATACTCCGCACGAGACACATCTTACCCCATTCTAGTTGTGCGCAAACTGCGGCTCCTTATTGAGCGCAAATTACACCCGTTCAGATAGACCTCCAATTAAATCAGTACAGTGTACCCGGAGCGCAAAGGCATTAGCCAACTCATTTCAAACGGAATCTATTAGATGGTATTCATCTTCTGGACCAAATAGCAGTCATTCAGAAACGGGCACTCTTTTCCGCACCTTGCTTTCATAACCACCACGGAGCTTTCACCCGACCCCCGAGGCAAACTTGAGCCAACACTTCGCGACGAAATTCTAAGTGTCCCAAGACTTAAACGGCGACGCAATTCAGACTTTCCCGCGGGATGTTTTTTACCGCCAGCAAACTGCCGAAATAACCCGGCAGCGTGCGCGGCTCGGTCCGAATAACGTCAGGTGCGGTGGGGCGTGGCGTACACAGCTGCTTGATTTCCCCGGAGCTCACTCTGTTTATAATCTATTTAGACTTGACACGGCATAGGCCGACGAGAGCTAACGGGACTGAGAACCTGAGATCATACTCCCACTCATGTATGAGGTCTCATACATGAGTGGGAGTCTTGTCCACGTCCTCTGTACCATAAACACTCAGCAGGCGCGGCTAAGAAACGTCTGGGAAGCCAGAGGTGCGGGCTCGATCCCCGCAGTGTCCGCCTTTCCTGCCAGGGTGAGAGGCAGGCAACGTCATATAGTCACAGCAGCTGAGTGAGTCACAGAGCCCCTATACCCCCTTTCCGGCTAAGAATGTGTTTGTGAGTTGTCGCATTAACTTCCGATGGCCTGATGGTTCATGCTCATCTCCAGTACTGCTGGTGGGCGCGGCCAGGTGGGCATGTATCGATGGCAGTGTGACGTCTCCAGCATTTCGCCGGGAATGTTCCAAAGAAAGCGCTGCCAGCCGTGACTGTACACTGAACTCAACCGTTGCGACTCGTTTCCAGCAGGCCAGTCTCAGACCGTGAGTGGCCTACAGAGCGTGACGGTGGGCACGCCGTTACCGAGCGTCGCGGGTCTTCCGAGGATAACACAGCGGCTGTAGATCAAACTATTTTAGACATGTTGGCAGATGGCGACGGGGTAGGAATATACCAGGGAACCAAAACCCCTGCCGATCTTGCCTTATCACGCAACAAAAGCCCACTTAGAACCCCGCAATGCACTCGCGTACGTCGGGGAAGCGCTGACATCGACGCACCTTGTTGGAGACGTTGGGGTCGATCTTGGCCATGGAAAAGAGTTCCTTGATGCCGGCGATGTTGCCCTCCTCGGCGGCGCAGAAGAGCGCTGACACCACGAAGTTCTCGTCCTGCGGGCGGGGCGACAGCGGCCGGTAAGTGGTGCGGAACGAGCGCTGACGGGCGGCCGGTGGGTCGGCGCCACGCCGAGCGACAGGCGCCGGCACCAGACCTGGACCCTGGCTAACGGCCCGGCCAACACGACACCTTAGTCGCGCCGGTCGACAGCGCACGCCGCCGGACCACCGACGACGGTCGTCACACACTGGCGCGAGACGGATGTGGCATGGCATGTGGCGCAGCTGTGTAGCCTAAAGAAGACTTCAGGAAGAATACATTAAAGACTAACGCAGTTAGCGTTCATTATCTTTTTGTAAATGACGCGGTTTGATGTCCATTTACGCAGAAGACCATGTGCTTCATTAAAAATGAAAAATGCAGTGAATGCGAAATACCTTAACGTCTGTCATTTCACCGAGTAAAAGGCCAAGCTTTATGCGCACTTATTCGGGACTGGCGGCCCTGTGGAACGGAGACCAATTCATTTAACGGATAAATCACATTCAGGATTACCAACAATTCGAACTTAGACTCTGAACTAAGTGCGGATAAAATGTGATTTCTGGGTAGGTTTCAGTAACCTGTGAATTGTGACCTGACTTAAACGTAGCAATAAACGCAAACGACTCATGGCTTAGTTTCTTGAAAACAGCTAAGATATAACAACTTTAGCCCCTTTCTAACATCGTGGTTGTTTCTAAACCACTAATGTAAACTTGTGGTACGATGCACACATAATTATGCCGGGATAGCTTTAATCATCTAACCGCCGCTAGTTACAACCCAATAATATATATATATACATATATATATATATACATATATATATACATATATATATATATATACATATATATATATATATATATACATGTATTCGTTTGCATTATGTATGCATGTATGCTCACGAATACCCGTGCTGCATGACCTACAGCAGTCGATGCGCCTTAAACCCCCCACGACTACCCGTCAACTTTAGAAGCTGGTGGCTTTAGCTGAAGCGCTCAGGGTTTTCCCTAGCACTATCATTTTGACTAGGACTTGTAGCTGTGAAACTCAATGAACTCGGAATCGGACCCAGGGTCCTACGACTCGGAACCATGACCCCGACTCATTCAGAATGTAAAGAATGAGCTCGAGCTCGGAAACAGAGACTTAAGAAACAATGGATGAAGCTCGCAATGGGACTCACCGTCTAGACCCGAATCCATGATAATATTGAAAATAAGGCTGGATTGGGTGGTTCTGAGCTCGATTTCTGAGCTCGAGCCAAAACAGGATAACGTTTTTTGAATGTCTTAAGCTTGGATCAAGCCACCTGGCGCTGGTCAATTCAAACCATGATCCCCGCTTAAGCTTTATTAAAACTGCATCCGCCCAAAAAGTGCTCAAATATGTTGTGTCACGCGCAAATCCGAACTGGCAGTGTCATATCCAAAGCACCACCTTCCTCCCATGCGGCCCTGTATGGCCAAATGCCAATACGGCCACCAATTCATAGAATTACTTCAGTGTGAAGAACAAAAACCGTGAAAAGATGTCATCTGAATAAGAAGGAGATGAAGCCGTTCTCACCCCATCCAAAGGGGGTGCTTTAATTTTTCACATAAAAACTGTTTCTTAACGCTTTAGATGTGTATAAAAAAGTGGTGGAAGTACAACAGCACCAACAATTTCCATAGATATGGCTCGATGTGTTTACTATTATGCCTAGAAGAGCGCATCATAAGCATACTATCAGCTAAGTCGACTACCCCACATATTTCCCGTGCTCTTTAAACATGACCGCACATTTTGATCGCGTGATACGGAAATAAAGGCCGATGGCCAACATCATTGATCAAGTTATCGTTTTCCTTCAGACGTTCCAAATGTTCTTCTCTGTTCGAAGGAACGAATTTCTTGAACACATTTGGGAGCTCAGGCACCTGCGCTTAAGTATTCGACGTACATTAAAATACGAAACAAACGAGCCAGGGTTCACATCCTTTGCCGCTTTTTATGCCAATCTCTATTTTTCTGGTGTCGAAAAAGTTTAAATGGTTGTAAACGGTTCATCACCTCTCTTGAAATCGCCTTCCTGGCGTGTCCGAGTATTCTCCGTCGTCCATCACCGGGCTAAAAAACAAAGCACCGCACACTTGTCTCGACTCAGCGCTCGGAGCGAGCACCTGCGAGCGTCGCTGTCGGCGCCCGACAGCTCTCAGGTACACTTGAGCGCCGCCAAAGTCAGCCGGGGCTGTTGGAGGCAGACTGAGGCCGGTCGGGGCCGCTCGCCCGCTCGGCTTCAGCCGGGGCTGTTGCAGGCAGACTGAGGCTGGTCGGGGCCGCTTGCTCGCTCGGCTTCAGCCGGCTGCCGTTGAATGAGTGGCTCATGGGCGCCGTTTGCCGCAGCGCAGCGTAGCCAGGGCGTCATTTCAGGGAGACCGGCCGTGCTGTCAGCGGCATCGGCAATGTAGTGAGGACCACCCGAGAACGTCATCAGGGGAGACCGGTGGCGTTATCGAGGGGGCTGTCAGAACTGTCGGTTTGAACGCCACTGGTGGTCCTGGGAGAGTCGCCTCGGGAGCGCTGGCAGCGTCCGTCTTGTCGCCGTACCGTTGTCGACAGCGCCGTAACTGCCACCGACGGCACAGTATGGAAGCAGCCGCTGTTGGCAGGTGGTGGCTGCGTTGTCTGCATTGTGTCGTCGGCAGGTGTTACCTGGGTCTGTGGGAGCCTGGCTCTGGCGCTTGTCACCGTATGCGTGGCAAGGACAACACAAGGCGCGCGATACAGGTAAGCATGGTCGCGGCTATTGACCGATCCGGCCAACCTGGCCCGAGTTCCCAACTGAGGAGGAACGAAACCAGGCCGCGGCGGGTCAGACCAGGCTGTGGGTGGACCCAAGCTGAGGCCGGGTTAGGTGGCCCGCCGCTGGGCACTAGAGTGTCGCCGGCATGTAGCGGTCGGCCCACCAGAGTGTCGCCGGTACGCCAACGGTAGCCCGCCAGAGTGTCGCTGGCACGCGGCGGTAGCCCACCGGAGTGTTGCCGACACGCGGCGGTCGGCCCGCCAGATCTCACACCTGTCCAGCCACGCCGCACCACAGGACAGCTCGCCGATGTCTGACGAAAGCGACGCGGCTGGTCACCCAACGCTGTTGCCAGCGATCGGTGGACACTCGCGACTTTCGCCGGCCCGGCGCGGAGCGCGGGCCGCTCCGCCGGCCCGGTGCCGTCCCTGACAGCGTCAGCGCTACGGCGCCGTCCCTGTCAGCGTCAGCGCTCCGGTGCCGTCCCTGTCAGCGTCAGCGCTTCGGCGCCGTCCCTGTCAGCGTCAGCGCTCCGGCGCCGTCCCTGTCAGCGTCAGCGCTCCGGCGCCGTCCCTGTCAGCGTCAGCGCTCCGGCGCCGTCCCTGTCAGCGTCAGCGCTTCGGCGCCGTCCCTGTCAGCGTCAGCGCTCCGGCGCCGTCCCTGTCAGCGTCGCCGCGGCGGGAGAACAGCTGGTGGCCGCCAGGTGTTGCGGACGGGTATTGACCCTTCGAGAGGCGACCGAGAGCCTCGAGTCAGATCGGCTCGGCTCCGTGTGACGACGCGGCGACATTCTGACGAACTTGACGCTTGTTGCTGTCACTTGGTGTGGTGACTGCACTCGAAACTACACTTCCTCATCGGTAACATTTACCGCGCTGCTGTTCGCAGCGTTTGCGTTTGCTGCCCATTTCTTTCGGGTGTTATCTGTCGGAGCTCCACAACGCGGGAACGTCCGGATGCGCGCCACATGGTGTCTTTGGTGTAGTCATCGCGAGGCTGATGGTTTGCTCTATCTTTCGAGCGTTATTTCACACAGCTCCGCTCAGGTGGCAGCGTTTACAGCCAGAGCCGCTGCGCTGGACAACTGAGCCGAGCTCGAAACCTTTGTTTGCGCATAACGCTTGGCACTCCAGTTTCCAGTATACCACTCTACCGACTGTGATACCAAGTTGTTATATTGGTGTTTTAAAGGGAAATGCGTTTTGCTTGAATGGAATGGTTTGCCGCACTTGGTGAATACGAGCACAATATTTGATCAACGACATTAGTGTAAGACCTTGAGAAACATGCATTTTTTTGTGCCAGTGTGTAAATAAATCGGGCACAAGCGGTTCTAGAGATGGGGTGCTACTCCAGTGATGACGTTACATTCAAGTCGAGCCAAAGAACATCCCAAGATTTCAATAGCTTCCTTAGCATTCGGTAGATTGTGGAAAAGTTTGCAGACTAAATCCAAGTATGAAATTTAAGGAATAAATTTTGCCTTGATCAGCTGGCAACTGGGTGGAGTTTTATGATGATGATTATTATTTTTATTATCACTATTATTTGACCTCAGCTGACGCTTCACATACATTCGTTGCTATGATGTGTTATTAGTCTGGGAAATATAACGGTATGCCAAAAAATAACGGAAAGTGATAAGGTGTAAAAAACACAAACGCATGCACGAACAAACAGAATAAGACTGCCCTACCGTACACAAAAGGACCTGGCAGTGCGGGTAAGACTTGTTGAATTCAGTCTTCGAACATCCCCAAGCAGCTCATTAATGAGAGACGCCGCCCGGTATGTAAAGAACCGCTGTCCTGCCGCCAAGGCATGCTCAGCTGGTTGAGTCTTGAGATGAAATTATGCTGGACATCATTCGCGGTGACATAAGCCGACGATAACACCTAATCAAACGAATTATCACAGTTGTCTTTCCTTTGCCGCTGCACGGGAAGAGCCATGTCGGAATTGCCTTATTTCCAGGCAACCGTCGGGCCAAACGACGAGCGTTTGTTTCTACTCGAGAACAAAATGATCTTATCAAATCACGCAAAAAGTCGTACAGCTGCACTGATCCAGAGACCTGATGACAGCCGCCGACGTGGAACCAGGCGTGTCATAATGAGTCGTTGCTGCCCGTCAGAGTGCATGCCAACGGTTTTAGGATCGGTGGCGGGTGCGACCGGCCACTCGCGAGGGAGCCACCAATGACCACGTCTGCTTCCA